GAATCTATAATGTAGCCAAGCTGACAGACTTGGAAAGAAATTTTATAAATATCTTTCAGATTTGGGTATCTCCACAATACAGCTTAATATATTTCATTTATCATTTATATTTAGATTTTTTTAAAAAATTGTAAATGTATTTGTATTTATATTTTAATTTATATTTGTATTTTATATGTATGTATAACCACTTTTTAAGATGTGTCCAGATTTGTAGTCTTAATTTACATCAGTATTACTAGAATTATATTTAGACGTTATTGCAATACATTTGGTGTAAAGGTTAATTAAAATGGGCAGTCTGCTTTCTGGAATGCCAATTGCTGTGTCTCAGGACACAATTTTGTAAATTCAGGATTATAAATCTTAAAAGAATTATGAAAAGTAAGCTTTGAGTAGTTTCTGAAGAAAATGTTTATGCAGAATTCATTATAATAAATAATAATTATTGTTTGCACCACTTGATTACATATTACTAATACCTTGGAGGAACATTTCTTTTCTCAGAGTGGCATTTGGAAACTGCAATGGTTTGGCTGTTGTGGACTTTATGCAGAAGACAGTACTGCTGAGCATGGGAACCCTTGACCTATATGGATCAAGTGATCCATACCAGCGTCAGCCCCGTTCACCTCGCAAAAGCAAGCAGTTTGCTGCAGGTAGGAAATAAATTATTGTGATTATGAGCCTGACATGTTCTTTGGTTTTTTTGCTTGTGGCTTTTTATAGTGCTTTTGAAATGCATGACTATTTGCCGGCCAATGGAGTTTCTATAACTTGACAAAAGAAACCTGACATGTTTTAGGTACTAACACTTTCTCTGAAACAAAATGTTTTATGAAGTTTATTCTTTTGGGATGGAGGTCAGCAAGTAATTTTCTTAGCTGAGTCTCTAAAAAAACTGTAATGAGGAGAGCAGTAATTTGTTTGTCTGGCCGTCACTTGAAGTGTAGTCTGTGTGCTATTTTCTTTCTGGTTTCAATAAGTTCATACCAATAGGTAAGACTTCAATTTAAACTTAATCTTATCTTCTGCCAAGTGCTATTCGTTGGTATTTGAATAGGCACAATTTGATTTGTGTTTGGAGAAATGTCATGTTGTGTAGGTAGCCCAAGTAGCACAAATTAGCCACTTTGTTAGTGAATTGAAGCTCTTGATACAAACTTACTAAATCCAGCTGTACCCCATTTTAAAATTTCATGCCAAGAGGATCACATTTGTAAGTCATAGCTATTATTATGCATTGTATGTTAGAAACATTAGCCCATCAATGTAGCTAAATTTTACCATACATTTTTGGTTATCTAAAAAATTTACTTGTATGAGAAAAGAAGTCAGAAGATCTTCTATGTGTCAAGTCTTTTTGCTCTACATATTCCACAGTAACATACTAGAGTCAGACACGATAATGAAATGTGTTTTACATAGCTGTGAAGTTTTAGAATTTGATTTAAAAATCTGTTTGAAAATGTTGAGTTTTAAATCTAACCATAAAACTATAAAAGCAGCAGATTACAGTGGGTTTACATCAGCATTTTCATCAGCAGACCCTGCCCTAAATCATCAAATCCTATTTCTCCATGGAGTCAGTGGAAACTTTTTTTAATTGGGAATATGTACTCCAAACAGAAAGTAAAATTTAGAGAATGACATGTAAGTCTTCAGGCCTACTTCTGTTCCTGAAAGACCATTTATCTCACTTTCTAGGCATTTAATCATGGCAAGCTTAGTTCTCATCTGTGCCAAGTGTAAAGATGTAAATTTGGCACAGCTGAGGAGAGGAGAGGCAAGCAGCTTTAAGCTGCCTTCAGCTTTTCTGGTTCAGCCAGCCTCACAGCAGCTCCCAAAGTAGTTTGAGCAGTTAGTGACAAGCAACACCCTGCAGAGTCCTGTACAAAAGGTGGAGGGTAGCTGATGTAGAAATAGCTATTATCAGCACGGTACCACATAGGATTTCTCTGTGTCAGTGACAGTCTTTGCCAATCCTTCAAGGCAATGTTTCAGCTATGGAGTGTAGCTAGAATGGAGCCCACTGGGGATGAGTGACCGCTAAGAAGGAATACACTCTTCTAGATTGCTCATAGAAACTGTGCATCTAAAAAAAGCCTCAGCTGCTTTCTCACCATCCATCCCACATCCTTTACTTTTTTGATTATTTTTCTTGTTATATCTCCCAATTGGAAGGTAAGCATCTGCTGAAATTTCTTCACCTTGGCTGTTCTAGATGCTGGTTATGATATCACTTCCTTTCACTTTAGACTGTTTTTTCTCTCTTTCCTCTGCCTGCTGCTGATGCTGGTGTACTGGCATGTTCCAAAGACAACTTTTGCATGCGTGGCCTGTCTAACTTTTATCCAGATTTAACGAAACGGATCCGTACTTCCTATCAGAGTAAGTTCTATAAAGGTTAGGCAAATAGCTTGATCATGATTGGACTATGCCTGAATTAAACCCATGTGTTTGTGCTTTGTAATGTGTTTTTTTAAACACATTCAGCATGCATGCAAACTTATTACATTTTGTGATGTCAACCATGCTTAATTTTGACAATTATCTTTATTATACAGATATTTCAGATCTGTTTTCTTCTTCCAAAAGAGTCAATGAGAAAACCTCAGTGACTTATATGGGGCAGATCGGGCCTTAGAAATGATTTTTCAACAATGTTACGTTCTTGATGACAGTATCTTTCTTTGGTTTTATATTCGTTTCACTGTACACCTACTTATATGAAGCATTTCTTGTTTTGCAATGGCACTGCCTGGTTGTAGTTATTAATTAATTCTTCCCTATTTTCAGAAGAGCAATGTGGCTTAAAAGAGTACCGATTGGATTGGGTGCTGTGAAATTTAAAATTTTAATCTTGGTTTGGTACTTGAATATTTGTCTTTGGGGAACCATCCCATGCCTCTGATCTTTAATGGGGAATGTAAAGTGGGTATAAAAATACATGCATCAAAGAGAGCTATGAAAATTAATGTTTTTAATATCTTTAAATTTTGAATTATAGTGATACGCAATTCAAATATTAGTATTCATCACTGCAGAATGCGATGAACAAAGCTATAATTAATTTTGCAAAAATGACTGTTCAACAGATGAGCTGTATGTATCTTAATTAACTGCAGTGCTTATATGTAATTAGGTCTCCAGGATGCCACTTATTCATCTTTTTAAAGAGTTTTCACAGAACAACTGGATAGGCAATTTTACATTAAATACTCAGTATAGGCAAGATAAAGGGGTGGCAGTTGTTTTATCATCTCACATAAACACAGAGTTGTGTAACTGTTGAAATACATTTGTACACTCGCACAAGAAATTCTGTTCCATCTATCTAGACTGATTACTCAACAACTGATTTCTATGATTTTATTTCATAATACTTCATAAAAGGTGGCCTGTTTAGTTAAAAGACTAGTCCAGTTACAAATCCAGCAGTCCATACAAAGGTTTGGTGTGTAATGTCTTAAAGTTTATTAGTCTGGTCTTGCTGATTTCATGTCTGTAACAGAGAACCTGAGGGACAGGCAGCAGTCAAAGGTTTGGGGGTTTTCCGCCGCTAAAAATTAATAAATTCTAAGGCCAAAATGACCAATGTTTTCATTCAAAATGACAAACACAGACCATAGAGTTTTTCATAGCTGAAAATGTATTATCTTGTTTCCATCGTCAACACCCACATCAGAAAAGTCCGCAAAATCTTTCTGTATACATCATAACTGAAGAGTATGAGTCTGACTCTTGTGCAAGATCATTAACAGCTTCATTTCTTTCCTCAAAAATTATTTGGTTGTTGCTTTTGCCATTCAGTACTTATACAGGAGTATGTACTGTATGATCTGAAAGATGCACCGGGCAATAAGATAAAGAACAGGGCAAGAATGTGTCATGGTCTGTAAAATATCTTGCTAAGTCATTCTCAAGTTATGCTTTTTTATATGTCTTATCTGAGATATGAGTTTTAAAAGGGGTATTGAGAATGGATTTAGGATTTTGCTTACAAGTTTATCTTTTCTCGTAAGGGACGATGATGGGAAAAGAAAAATAAATTATTTTTGGAAAATGTGCAGTTGAAGCTGATATTATTAAGGCAAAAGTAGGAGCAGTTGTGATAACATAAGCATTAGGTCTAAAGTTTTGAGTGTTATATAAATGAAAATGGAAGTTAATGGGAAGACATATCAGGAGTTGATTCAATTAAGTAATGAACCAGGAATATAATTTCATGAGGATCAGTTTGAGAGAATAAGACTTGCAGGCATTGAAGCCAAAGAAGAGATTACCAATGAGGAAGATACTTAGACTTTTGTTGGTCATTTTGGAGGTGATTTGCAGGAAGAAACAGCCTAGTTTAGTATCCAGCCTGAATCTGAGAGTTCAAGTGTGACATTCCAAGGATGAAACTCATGGATTAGAGTATCAGGGAAGACAGTGGTGCTGTTAGCTGTGTTGAAGTAGCGAAGAGAAGACTTCAGCAGAAAACAGAATAGAGTTCATCTTGGCACCGTTAAGTTCATGTCTGGACACTTTTGAGTAAATTTTAGAAAGGCAGGATTACTACTCTAACTTGGATGGAAGGAATCCAATTAGAGATGTGTATTTATGAATCATTAGGGTAAAAAAGGATATTTATTGCCCTGTTTATAGGAGAGAAACTCCTCAAATACTGGGACAGAGAGAGAAAGTAAGTGTTGATGTTTCAGTCTGGGGTGCCTCTCTTCAGAGGGAAAGCGGGGGGGCGAACATCAAACAGGGAAAAGAAGCAATATGTTGGAGAAGAGAGGTTTTCCAAAGGAAAGACATAATCAACCATGGGCATCCAACACGCAAAGCATAGTGGTGGAATAATTGTTTTGAATTTTAGCCAATAAATCTATAGAGAGCTTGATAAGAGTAATGTATACATGTGTAAGCTAGACTCAAAAGCCTCTAGAGTGGCCTTAGAGCATTAAGACAGCACATTCTCTGGTTTGGGAGGTGAGAGTGGGAAGGGAGAAACAAGAAGGGAAGAAATGAGGAGAAATGTAATCAGTTCTAGGCATACAGAATGGAAGAGACTGAAACATAATTGTCCTATCAGGGATAGTAATTTGATGAAAATAAGAGGCTAAGATGAGGGTAAGTGCAGAGCTGGAGGTAGCTTTCTCGTGTTGATGACCTGTTCCATTTGCTATAACATCTTCTGGCAGCCACCTTCCTTTGTGGCAACAACATGTGCCAAGCCAAATAAAATAAACTCTCTCTGCAGTAGTGCAGAACTGTGTTGTTGCTTGTTTGGTGGTTGGTTTGTTTGGTTTTTTTTCAGTTGAAATCAAGTTGTACATGTTATTACCCGGAGGTAGATAACATATATTCAAATATTAAAACAAGTACATTTAGTGCATCTAGAGAGAGAGTGTTTGCAGCAGAATATAAAAATACCAACTTGCAAAAGCAGTTTGCATCTCCTACTAGAAATTCATACCATCTGTTGGTAAAACAAGAAAATAAGTAGTCTTTATGAAGCATCCAAAAAGTCAGCAAGTTCAAAGGATATTGATCCATTGGAAAATAATTTTCAGAATGAGCCTTTTCAGTGAGAATGCCTCGTTCCTCCTTTAGGCCAGTCCCTTGAGAGGATGGGAGCAAAAGTAACCTTGGTCTGACAGGAGGACACAGAAAACTGTGTGTTATGAGTCATTACGTATCAGTAATTGACACTTTAAATCACACCTGACAACACAGTAGGAGCTAATATAGGGTGAGTTTTAAGTCAACAGCTATATTCTGAACTAACTGTCATTTCCAAAGAATGCATCATATTTAAACATAAGGAAAACATAGCATGGTAATTCAGTGTGAAAATGATGGATTAAGATAACGCTGGGCTTATTTATTGGCTTGTGAATATTTATGATAATTTATTTATAATTCATTTATTTATAAGCAAAGATGTGATAGCTTTGGGTGCTTTTAAGTAAATGATCAGTCTGAATCATTTAATCATAGAGATAGAAATATGAAATTTCAAAAATAATTTTAAATTCAATTATGAGTTCATGGAAGTTGTTACTCCGAACTAGACAGTACATTTCTTTTATCCTTTAATAAAGAGGAAATGGGAATCATAGTAAACTTTGAAAAGCATCCGTGGGACATGTCTTTAAAAGTGCTTTCATTCCTTATGTGATATATTTACCTCTTGCACTATTTTCATGTTTGTAATTTGTTCAAACCAAAGCCAATTTCTTTATAATGTCAGTGGGTATATCCTCTCATAGGTGATTGTTTACATTGCCAGTCTCAGTTATTTGCCTTTAGTTTTGTTGTTATGTTCTTCTTGCTCTCCCTGGACTCAAAATTTGCTGGCATGAGTTGGTTTTTTTTTTGGCTAAAAATAGCTAAAATATCTCAGGACACAGATTGGGCCTACAGAACTTCAAAACGAAAAGTGAAAATATTTTTGTAATCTAACTTCAATAGCTGTTGTAGTCTCTCAAACATTCAAGGGAAGCTGAGTTGCATGGAAATACTTATACATGATAAGTTATTGAAAAGATTTAGCTTCGTTTCCTTAAAAAGGAAATAACAGTAGAAAATAAGCAGTAGTACAAAGAAAAGTTTGAGAGCTCGCTCTCTTATCCCAAAGAGAAGCAAAAGGCAACATTTAATGAAAGCAAAGGTAACACATAAAAATTGACAAATGTATGTTTATTCCTTTCAGTGAATGATGATTGTGCAATTCATTGCCATATAACATCTCTGGGATTTAGAATTTAGTAAGATTAAAAGAGGCTTTGGATAGATGGATAGATAATGAGAACTCATAATATTTCTAAGCAAGAAAGATTTACGGCAGGAGAAAATGCGCAAGTGGCAGTGCTTAAGCAAATCTGAGCGTCTGAGATTAAGACAGTGCCGTTGTGCAGGGCACATAGTACCACTTACGCTTAACGTGGGGACTTACTGCACTTTTTTTTAAAAGCATCTGTTGGTGGTCATTGTTGGAGGTGATAGTGGCTTGACAACGAGTCTAGATTTGTAGAAAAGTTCACATGTTCACCATTTTTAAATACCATACCATGAAGTGTATCTTTACTGCTGTAAGTTGTAAAACTGTTGCCAAACGTAAAGAGCTTGTGGTATTCTCATGGTGGTTGCTCTTGGGTTTTCAGAACAGTGGTGTGATTTTTTGCATTTCCTACTTGAGTCAGTGGCACCACGATTTATATTGAGCTGTAATATTGTTTCTGTGAACTCACAACAACAAAGAAAAGAAACTCTATTTAGAAGCAAAATCTGACCTGGCATTTGACATTGTAACTATCACCAATAGTAACTGTACAAGGTTTAGAAGAATTTCATTAATCACAACGTCATAACCATAGCATTAAAATTTTAGTATCTCCAGTACTGCATTTGCAAAAGAAACAGTTTGATATTTCATTTTATTTATCCGAGGCCTTTGATGCTATGTGAATGTGCTAAACTCTCTCCCACTGTACCTTGCAGACAGTTCTGCAGCAAAAATCAGTTATGTCCCAAATCTCTAGGTACATACAGAAACCCCAGTCAGGTAGAAGTAAGATTTGCTGTAAGAAAGCTGTACATGGAGAGGCTCCCTAAATGGTTGCAGTTCCTGAATTCTATCATAACGTCAAAAGTGACTGGACTCACAATTGATTGGAATATAAAATTCTCTCACAGATTCTAAATTGAATCAAAGAAAGATTCAAGTATGTTTCTCAAAATAAAAAAAAAAAAAAATCTTTGGTTTTCAACATTAATATCTAGATTGTGATCTTTTGTTGTTTAAAAGTCAGGAGCAAATACATCATTACTACCGACTTTAACAGGCCAAATCAATACTGCTGTTTTTCCAAAGCACCCTCAAAGTTGTTCTAGCACTCATGCAGCTTCAATAGTGGTAGGAGCTTTTTATTCTGCTTGTTGGGGCTCTGGATTCTCCCCACTTCTCAGAGCAGTTCAAAATTACATTATAATAAAAATATCAGTACCTCCATGAAGATCCCACTGTTTTTAATACAAAGAGAACAGCACTGGTGACCAAATGGTAGCAGATTTTTTTTTTTAAAATGAGTCTACGTGAATTTTAGAGATGAGAGTCTCTGAGCCTGAGGGTCCAGAAGCCATAAAGATTAAAACATGTCATGTTGCAGGAGGCATGGTGCCAGATTAAAGCATATTGAAAGGTTATGATAGGATCTTTGACTTCCAGGGTACAACATATGCAAAGTGTGTGTAAGCACAGCATCAGAATGACAGTAATGCACATCTGAATGTGGGATAATGTTCACTAGGCTCTCTGACCTGAGTGCTGCGAGTCCGCACTGCTAGCAGATGGATGTCTGGTGCTGGGCTGTCTGCCAGTCCCAAGTAGCCTATGGCATGAAGTGTCAGAGCTCCTTATAACAACTGTGAACCACTTGATATAGGCCATAGGGCACCACGGGATACATACGAAGGGTAGATTTGAATAGGTATGGCCATGCCCGGTTCACCCACTCAACAGTCAGCCCATGGTAAGGGACAGCATGAGCTCAGACTTTCTCTCCCTAGCATGCCAAAAGGCATGTTTAAACTTGTACGTGCAACCTGTGCCAAAGATGGATCTTAGTCTGATCACAGAAACAAGCCCAAGCTTAAGCAGCATAAACTAAGATTACTTTACTTGTTGCTGTCTTCCATGGTAGACTGCTACAAATGAGTTCCTCACAAATATTTATAATCAATATATAAAGTATCTTGTCCAAAAATTCTGTGTTATATTCGGACAGCATTATCATTGCCTCTGTGTCCTTTAAAATGAGCGATCTTGTGTGAATTCATATGGAAGTTCCTAATATTGCATAGTAGTGGTGATATTTTTATATTCACTTTCTTTTTTCGCCAGTACTGTCTTTTTTTTTTTCCCCTCTTCTCCCCCTGTTTTAAAGGGTTCCTCCCTGCATTCTGCAGCAGTTGAAAGCATAGAGTTGTTTCCACATCAGTTTGACAGGGATGAATGAGTTTGATTCATATCACAGACATTTAAATTTTAAACTATATTTACTTGTTTTCTCTCGTTAGGTGCAGTCACTCTTTGTCTACCCGGAGGCACTCAGAAAACAAATCTGATTTAACAAGAGGTGTGATTTTTAAACCAGACCTAAATTTCTGCAGTGACAGCCTGATAACTACAGTTATCTGAAATAGATATTTCCCTTGCATTTCACACCATTCCTTTCTCCAAATTGACTTTAAAGTGCAGAATATCATCAGCCAAGAAAGTTGAAGCATGCCCTGTTAGATTGTAACTTAACTTTTTAACTCCATTTTTTCAGGCCTGACTGAACTCAGTGACAGTCCAGTTTCCCTGGAGCTAGAGCGTTGCAAGTCTCCCACTTCAGGTAAAGGTGATTGGCTTCTCTTCCTGCAGTCTGTATAAGCCATTCATGTCATGCATCACTGTGTTTCATTAATCCCTAAGAAGTGAAGTGCGTAGTTACAGTTCCAAAGAGAAGAAATTACTGGAGAAGTGCTTATTACACAGCACAGTAAAATCCTAAGTCTGTTTACTTAAAGAAAAATTAAATGTACATGGTGCATCTTGACGTGAAGAGTATGAAAACATTTGAATTAACAACATTGTGCAGGTATATTCCTATATCCTCCTATTAGAGACTTGTTTCTCTGTTTTCTTAAAAAGCTTTCTGACTCTTTTTTTCCCCAGTAGGGAGTCCTTATAATTTTATATATATATTATGCATATGTGAGTGTAGAGAAATCATTTGAAAAACAGCAATACGGAGATGGTAAATTTTAAGCATTAGAAGCCACCAGTGCTTAAGTTATGTAATTTACAATGGAAGCATAACCTCAAATAAAAATACTCTTATCAACCACTTTGACCCAGCAGTGAAATCTTGGCCATTTAAAAATTTATAAATGTTTCCCGTTTTACTGATAGTCCTTCAGAGGGTGGAGTTCATCTCATTCCTAGAGACTTTTTCTGCAAGTGCCTAGTCTGCATTGATCTCTTTAATGTGAGTTCACTGTTTTAAAGATCATTGCTTAGAGATGTTTTCTAGTAGATGACTTTTTAATGTGATGGAAAATTAGGAGGTGTAGCTGTAATACATTCATTTTGCTTGTGGTATGCATATCACACTTCTTTTCCTTGTAGTTTGGTAAGTATTGATAGATACTTTTTTTTTTTTTCCTTAGTTATGGTAACAAACTCCCACAAATATTCTATTCAAATCCTCTGTTATTATTTCACATATTTTACTTTATTATAACAGGTCACATTAATCTTGAATGGAGGCCACTAATTAGTAATTTACAAAAACCTGAAACTAATAAAAGTGTTTCCCTGACACATCGAGAACTAAAGCAAAATATCTGTCTTGAAATATGTATTTCCTTGTACTATTTGCAACCCAAAGTCTGTCAACATGGGAATATCAAAGTGAAATAGGCTATAATAATATTGGTATAACACTAGGAACTCTTGAGCTGGGCCTCAGAAACTCATGATATGGGCTTTAAAATAAAACATTTGATAACTCAGTATAATTAGACTGTTTATTGCGTGACTCACTGGGATTCATCTTTTCAATCTTCTCTCCAGAAACGAGCTACAAACTCTATTTTTTTTTTTTTTTAACTGACAACTAAGAGATCACTGACTTAGTAAACATATGTGCATATGCTTAGTTTTGTAATGATGAGTGACTCCTGTAGCACCTTACTTTTTCTGCAGTTAACTTCAATTTTTTGTTCTGCTATTGATCAAAAATATCTATTTTAGGTAAATTTAAGATAATTTGCAAAATTTATTCTTCTTTTGTGTTTTGGAGATCATTCAGCAGGGAAAACATGGCATATTTATGAATGTTTCCTATTTTAGCCCTTCCATGTTGTTTTCCAAGCTATATTTGAATCTTTAAAATGTGAAATCAGGTGCAATTTTGTAGGCAGTAACTATTATTAGAATTAACTGCTTTTTACAATAGAAGTTACTTTTCCTGTGACTGATATTAATTTTTTTTTAATTAATGCAAAATTAAAATAATTTTGCTTTGGCATACCTGCTCTAAAACTGGGCAAAATCCAGTCTAATTATCTGGAGTAACTAACCTCAAAATTGTGACCTCCGAGAACCTGGGAGTGGAACTACCTTGTGCTTATCAGCACAGCCTCACAGCTACATCAGCCTTTGCGCTGGCTAACACTTCTTCATCGTAGAACACAACTGATTGATCTGCATAGTTACGGACTCATCAGTCAGGATCCTTCTACTTCCAATCTTGCCTTTGATCTATGTAAAGTTCATGGCACACAAGCTCCGTAATGGAAGTGGGCTGTAGAGTCCCATGATATCTGTGTTTCTAAAACCAGTGACCGCAATTCTCTGCTGAAGATAGGCCAAGACTTTATCCTTCAGAAATACAGCAGAAACAGAAAGAACACTTGGCTGCTGAGTCAAGTGATGCAAGCTGCTGCCCAGTGAAGGTCCAACTGGGTAGGATTACATCACCAACTGATGAGGTTGCAAAGACAGAAGGAATGCGGTTTGATTTGTTGCAATTCATTAGGGTTGCCAGACCACATCAACATCAGTTCTTCACCTGACAGTGAAGTTCATGCTGGTTACTGGCCCTGAGTATGCACAATGCATACACAAAATGCAGACGGCTGGAGGACACTAGTCTAAGTGGCAAACACTGCACACGTGACGGCATGCTGGTGAGCGACTTCACCCGCAGCTCCATCAGAAGGGGAATGATTTGAGGAACAACACTGATGTGCTCACATGCGTACTTTGAGACTTCAAGACAATGCCTAGGAAGAATCCCTCCAGCACGCTAATTGCCAATGTAGACGCAAACAGTTTTACATCTAAGAGAACCATGAGTAACGTAGATTTCAGTTCCAACCAGGCCCAGATTGAAAAATGTCCCGCCTGCTCATCTCTTGGTCTGATCCTGGACATTGCTTAGCCTGCCTGAACCATCTCCGTTTCCCTGAAAAATGTATTTTGCCTGTAACATCCTACAGCTTGTCAATGTTTTAACCTCTGATGAAGCTTCTGCAGAGCTAGCCTAGGTCAACTCAGTAATTCAGCTTTGTTTTCTCCCCTGCTCCAAATCAGAATTAGGCAGTTGTGTCCTGTCACTGATAGGAATGTTGGAGCACTGAGCAAGAGACTCAGTGCTGAAGAATACTCCTTATTTTACATGCAGGGCTGGTTTCTAATTCAGTACAAATCCAACTCTTTCCATTAAGCAATATTTTAAACTTGTTTCACAAGACTGTCTTTTCAGGTGCTTCTCCTGTACTATTTACTAAAGCATGGCTTTGCAGACAATGTAATTGAAAAATCAGATTCCCGTTCTGAATGCCTTTCAGACTAGAACATGAAATTAAAGCATTTGATGAAAATTTTTCTGAAATTCACAGTGCCACATAGGGGGTAGCAGCAAGTGAAGAAATACCAACCTTGCATTTTAAGAATGGTAGGCAGAGGAGAGGAATAATCTTCCTTAACCACTGGTATCTTACTTTAATTAAATTAGTATTCAAATACTATAGTGATGCATTTCCAATACTATACAGGAAGACAAAATTTAATAAAGCCATTTGAAAGATTCTGTTTATTTGTGAATAAACAGTGTGGCAGTTTCTACTGTAAATAAAATGTATTCTAGATATAGCAATATATATGGAATAACATTGGTTCAGCTCATTAGGAAAATTTATTCAGGGGCTCCTAGGAATATAATATATATAATATACATAATTACATAATATATATGTCCCTTACTGCTTTAGCCATTTATATGTAGCTTCATTCTGACGCATGTAGTTGAGAATACACTGTGGGCACAAGAAAATGCATCTTTCAGTGGTTATTTAACTTTGTTGTGTAAGATGCAATGGACAGTTTAGACTTCTTTCAAAGACCAGAAGGAAAGAATTTCATCGGTCCGTGTATAGGAGAGTGATTTCTCAAATGTGTGTTCTAAAATCAAAGTGCATTTGTGTTTTTTTCCTGAGAAATCACCTTCATACTGGGGGCTCACGTCCAAAAATGCTTTTAAGACTATAGAGCTTAGAGAAGGCTATGTAAAGATTTCCACAATTGATTCCCAGGAGCTTTGGAACAGGTCCGTGCTGGCAAGATTATGAGTTTTTATACGTACTGTGATTTCCAAGTGCTGCTATCCTGATTCATTCCACTGGTTAAATCTGCTGGGATTAGGCCCGTGCCATGCCAAGCTTCAGCTTTCCTACATGAAATGGTTTTAAATAGTTTTGTTTCAAGAAGAATATTATTAAATTTCTAACAGTTGCTCTTTTTTAACTTGTGGGTAACTGTGAAGTAGCTGAAGAGATTTGACTCAGTTTGAAAATTATATTCTCATGGAAAACAAACAAGAAAGTAAATGTTTCAAAACATTTTGTGTGTGTGGAAAACATAGAATTTAATTTATTTTGAAACTTAATCATTGATAACAGCATAACCATTTCTACTTATTTATATTAAATTAAAAAGAATGTTTACTAGTCAGAAGGCAAATTAATCATTAAAGAGAGGTTAGCTCCTGCACTGTGAATACAAGGTGTATTTTATCGCTTTTTCCAAATATGCGAGAGGGTTTCTGATCAGGTGAATTCATGCGTGCTTAAGATCTTGAGAAGGGATGTGTATGTAGGGATTAGCAAGGAACAGGGAGCAGTATGAGCTGGCAGAGGGGAGGAAACGGGGCCCTGGGTTTGGGCGTTTGGCTCAGTGGGAGCAGCACGGGTAGCCCCCTGCAGCCCATGGTGCATGGCTCAGGGTTCAAGGGGGCCTGAGCTTACCAACAGGGGCCAGCAGCTCCTATGGACCAGGGAGACAGGAGCTAAGCAAGGGAGCAGGGGCAAGCACAGCCTGGTGATCGCCAGGCAGGTCCGGGGCCAGGGAAGGATGTCGGTCTGTGAGTCCAGGTCTGGATCAGCAGGGCCATGGCCAGGCACCGGACTGGCAGCAATGCGGCAGGAGCTGTAGCTCAGGGCAGAGAGAGAGTTAGGTTCAGCTTGAAAGTAGCTCCCACGGGAAAGTGCTGCCTGGGGCGCTCTGCCTGAGGCCACCAAAAGAAAAGGGCTATCTCTACATTGGCTCTGAGCCCCAGTAGCCAAATCTCCAGGACCTTATTGTGTACCTTGTCCAACTGGGTAGCTAAATATTAGGCTCTTAAATCCATGTTTTAGCAGTGGAGAACTGGGACTGATATTCCAAAGTGTTATGCAGGCAGAATCTGGCATATGGAAAGTGAGTCGGGGCAACGAATGTCTTATGAGGAACAGCTGAGGGAGCTGGGGTTGTTCAGCCTGGAGAAAAGGAGGCTCACGGGAGACCTTA